CTGTTGCTGCTTCTGCTATTGCTGCTGCTAGTTACTGTTGCAGCTGTTGTTGTAACATACCACAAACTTGTCCCACCTTTGCTGTCTTCAGAAGACAAGCTAAAAGAACCATGAGGCTTTTGGGAACGATGCTTGCACTTGCATGGCCCTCCTAATGCAGTCCTGGTACTTCATCGTGTATAATGTTTGAACTCCTTGACTTCCGGAAATGAGGCGACCAAGATCTTGTGCTAATCGCAGTCCGTGGGCAAGTCGTTCAGGCTCCATCTGTTGTATTGGTATGCTGTGGCTTACATTGGCGACTCGGACCTCATGGGAGGCAAACGGCTCTCCCAAGGTCCAAGCTCTCCAGCCTTGCCTCAATTCGGCAGGCGCATCGAGATGTAAAATATGCGATTCCTGCCCAGGGTGGCAGAGTCCGCAATCTTGGCAGCCATCTGCTGCTTCCTCCCCCGGCTGCTCAGCCTGGGCAGCTGATCGTCCCCGGGGCTGACCCCCGAGCCGATCGTGAAATATGTACAAAGTCTTGCTCGCCGTGAAGCAGCTCTGCCTCCATGTCATGGGCTCTCAGAAGCTGACAGCTTGCAACAAAGCAACGGGGTGCCCCAAAAGCAAACCCATGAACGCAAGCCCTCAGCCCCAAACCGGCCTGAAATCTATGACCTCCAGCTTCTCCAGCGGAGTATGTTGTCGAGCTAGAAAGAGCCGTAGTCCCTCCTCAAACGGATCCAGCGAAGCAGACATTGGTGCTCCATTCAGGTTGCAGAACATGCCTGGGCTTGGGAGTTTGAGGTTCACGCATGCTTTACGATTTCTGGGTTACTTACCACTGTCTATCATTCTCATCGCATTATCCCTAGTCATGATAGGTCTCGGATGATGCTTTTTGCTGTGATTGAAGTAGTGCGCGCAGGCTGTCGTCGGCGAGGAAGTAGTAGGCAGTAGTGGTAACAGGAATGGTAGTAGTCGTCGTCGTCGTCGTCGTAGTAGTAGTAGTAGTAGTAGAGCAGTAGGAGTAGTAGAAGTCGTCATCGTAGTCGTAGTAGTAGAGCAGTAGCAGTAGCAGTAGCAGTGGTGACACTAGTAGTAGTAGTAGTAGTAGTAGTAGTAGTAGTTGTAGTAGTAGTAGCAGCAGCAGCAGCAGTTGCTCCGGGCAGGGCCGGTGTCAGCAAAGAAAGTCAAAAACATCGGGGGGAGAGTCGGCAAACAGGAGAGGCGGAAGTCAC